GGAAACAGCAGAGATGGTCAGGACCTGTAATGACTCCAGTACAGAGGTAGATGTGGACGATGCTGGTGGAAAAGGATGCCAGGATCATTCCAGAGGAGGCGAAGAGGCCTCCTACCATCATCACAGGACGACAGCCGAAACGGTTCACCAGGACGCTGCAAACCGGACCTGGACAGAGAGGAGTATGGGTGCTACAATGATCAGATCTTTTTGGGATTTTTTTTGTAATAATTTTTTCCCCCTAAATATCTCAATTTCTGTCAAATAATTTAAGTCTAATATTTTCCTTAATCTGGTGGGAAAAAGCTATAACTTATCAAAGACAACATTTTCTTTAATATTAAACCTTCATTTATCATTACTTGAACGGAAACTGCATATTTCTTTTGCTTAAACCCTTTTATGCATGGTGATCACCACAGTGTACAGCTGTTTAAAAGTGTTTTTTTGGTGTATATATATATATATATATATATATATATATATATATATATATGCCTTGGATTTTCGGCACTCATGCATAATAGTCCAACCTAGTGGAAGCAATTGCATCATCACATACAGAAATATCCCTTTTGTTGATTATTGCAATTGGAAAAAAAAAAAGTCAGTAAAACCAAGATGGCTGACACAAAGGAAAAAGACCAAACACCTCGGCTATTTCAATTTCTACAGGGGAGCAGAAGAACCACCATCCAACAGGTAGTGGTGTCAAAACTTCACCCGTTTGTTACTTCAGTAGAAGTATAGATACTGCAGTTTAAAAACACTCTGGTAAAAGTTGAAGTATCAACTTGACCTCTTTACTCAAGTAAAAGTGAAAAAGTATACCCTCCAAAAACTACTTAAAGTATAAAAGTATAAAGTAACCTTTAAAAAAAACAGCCAGATGCCGCTATATAAACTGAAAGGTCAATTTTTCGGCTCTTTCTAAACATTCTGTGAGATAGGGCCAAGGATGAGGGTCTTTTTGGTCTCCATCTCCCAATACGCTCTCGCCTGTGTCCGACCTTTCAGACATTTCAACATCTTTTTCTGAATCCCACATTGTAGCATGACACCTCTGCCAACAGAATACCATATTACAACAGGAAAACTAAGTTACAACTAATCTATGCAGCTACTTTGTTTGTATGTCGATTTATTTTATATAAAATGCATTAAGTATACTTGTGTTTAAACCTTTTTTTACATTCATAATGTATAAAAAAGTAAAAAAAAAAAAGATCCTGACAGAGCTTATCATAATTCATTCATGAGAGGGTTAGAGACAGTCAGGAATGACTTATAACTTTAATACTTAATGCTCTTACATGAGACGATTACATTGGGCTATAAAAGAGCTTGAATAATCTTTGCACTTTTAAACAGCAAAATCTTCATTAAAGGCCAAATATCAACAAACAGTTACAAATTTCAACATACAGTAGTAGCCATTGAAAATTTCCCCACTTTCCTTGATGGAACCTTGGTTGGCCCTTGGCTGGTCCCCTAAGATTCCTTTTTTTTTAAATCAATCTTAGTACTAAAATATTCTTTCTGTCATGGTTTGTGGACATTAAGATCTAAAGAGAAGCACCATCTCCTGGTCAGACCCTGTAGGTCAGTAAAAGGGTGGAGTCAGGTTTAAAAATATGCAAGCCCAGGAGAAGGAAGGGGGTCACTCCAGTGGCTGGAAGTCTGCTGCCATTCGGCTGGCGTTTGACTAGGAAGGACCATTTTGAATGGCTGCTACTGTATGTAGCTTAAATAAATATTAGTGCTCTTTCTACTGCTATACTGAAAATAAACTTTACTCTAAAACGATCTTTTCTGAAACAAACACTGACTTTTGAGTCCTGCTCTTAAAACTGCATATGCTACAGCGTAGCGTACGTGAAGGTACCAGGAAAAGTCCCGTCCCCGTCTGCTGCTGTAAAAGGAGAATTATTGAGGAGAAAACCCATTTCTGATGGGAATATGTTGTGAAGAGGTTCGGTTACTTAGTGATAAGTCAAAAAGATGGAGTGAGAACTCCTGCTATAAGCATCATCTTTGCAGAAGGATCTCTGTGAAGGAAACAGATGAAGTTGATGATTTTCTACTCATCCAGCAAAAAAGGTCTGTATGTGAAACACGTTCTGCCTCAGAGTTTTATAACCTTCAGAGGGTTGATTTAAAGGAAGGGCCAGCACCATTTGTACCACAGCTAGGGCAGATAACTCAAGCAGGGAGGCAACAGACAGACCATTCATAAAGGATACTACAGGTCTTGTAAATACAGTAGGAAGGTTTTACCCTGATTATATCACAGGTCAAATCCCTGAATAATATCTGCTGATGTCTGCAGATGGCAATAAAAAAAAAAATCAATAAACGCTCTCTTAAATTGTCCATTATTAAGCATCTTTAGCTTTAGCAGGATCTTTTCTATGTGAAAATGATCTGCACATGCAGATCTCATAATTTTTCATTTCATTTCCCACCAACACAAGTGTAGCATTAGCTTCCAAACAGCAGGGCACCAGTGAGCGGTATCTTCAGAAGCAGAGGCCCATCCCAAGATTTACGCTTGTTCATTGCCACGACAACAACACAAACAGCTTGACTATCTGCACAAACAATGCCAGTATATACATGGAGGCTTGGTGCACATTTTCTGAAGTTACTTGTGAAATGATAAGGTGGAGATTCCACTGTGGGGCTGGGACACCGTGGGGGGATTTACCATTGGGCAATACTATGCAGTTGCCTAGGGGCCCGAGTTCCTGGGGGCCCATGTATGGTTAATACAACTTTTCCTTATTTGTGCACATTAATTACGTTACTGATAAAAATGCTTTCGCTAAACTCATTGGATCAGTCCATTTGCTTCACATGTTCAGAAAGGTCGAAGAGCAGTGTTGCCAACTTACTGCTTTAGTCGCTATATTTACTGGCTTTTCAGACCCCTCTAGCACTCTGATTTCTAGAAAGCTCCTAGCGCCATATCTGGTGACTTTTTCCTGCTACTGGAGACTTTGGAGACAACATCTAAAAGCAGCGAACTCTGCTCTCCAGAGCGAGTAGATTGGTAACCCCGCCTCCTGCTCTCCTCTATCTTGTCCGCTGACATGTAGGGTTAGGAATTTATAAGATTTTCACGATTCCCATTCCCTTATCGATTCTGTGAGACGATTCAATTCCTTAACGATTCTCTTATCAATTCTGTGAAAAGAGTCCTTTTCGATTGCCTCATTGATTCTGTGAAACGATTTGATTCCTTATCGATTGTGTGAAATGATTAGATTCCTTATTGATTCCCTCATCGATTCCCTTATCGATTCTGTGAAACGATTCCTTATCTATTCTCTTATTGATTCTGTGAAACGATTCAATTCCTTATCGATTCTCTTATTGATTCTGTGAAATGATTCAATTCCTTATCGATTGTGTGAAATGATTCGATTCCTTATTGATTTCCTCATTGATTCCGTTATCGATTCCCTTATCGGTTCTGTGAAACGATTCGATTCCTTATCAATTCTCTTATCGATTCTGTGAAATGATTAAATTCCTTATTGATTCTCTTATTGATTCGGTGAAACAATGAACTTGGTAAGTTCACGGTGACATTCGTCTACCTTCGGCTGGGACTATTCTGTTTCTATCTCTGCTTGCCTCGGTGAAAACAGAAGGCAGTGAACGGGAGCTGCCAGCCTCTGATGCAGCGGGGCTACCCGTTTCCTCACAGTCATCCAAATCTAATGGAGAAGGAATCCGTTTAATGAAAAAGCATTACTGCACAATTTCAGGAAATAAACTAATCTCCCCATTA